TCAACCCACTACTCTAGACGTAGGAATCACCCATAAACTACCATTTCTCTCGAGTTTCCAAAGCCTCCAGTTCTACAGAGTATTTTTCAGCTTTGCAGGGTATTTTCCAACTCTAGAAAATATTTTCCAGCTCCGTAGAACATTTTCCTGCACTGAAGAATATCGTCCAGCACTTCAGAATATTTCCAGATTTGTCGAATATTATGGCAATGGAACAACATGTTGCAGTTTCAATCTTTAGATAGATCTTCTTGAGCATCAGACGATCAAGGTTATGAGGTTAGCATCAAAATGGGATTAAGCATTCCATTCGTAAGCTCCAAAGCGGTCGTCCTTCCTTCTCTCATCACCACTCTCAAGTTTATCCCTTTTGTCCTTGGAAGAACCTCAAGATTGTAGTCACTGCACTCTTCATTTTCAACATGAGGATTGTTCGTTATAGAGTAAAAGTCTACACTAGGGATGAAAGAGGTCACATTTATTATCATTATTATTATGTCACAATGATTTATGTATGAGTGTAATTCTCAAGCTGTAATCTTTGAGCCATATGTATTTCACATCTTAGCTACCTTTTTTTAACAACGTACAACTTGTCTCGATCATGTTTTTGGTAGTTGTGTGATCACCTTGAACCTCTAGAACCCCATCACTCCTACCTAGCTCCACTGGCTTGGTTGAAAAGTTCATCTTTTTAAAAGTTTTTGCTGGAAGGTGTACTATGAGATATCATCATCCAACGACAAAGGATGGCCCATAACATGTAGCCCCTGGCACATGAGACAGGTGCCGTCGAAAGAACGCCCCTTGTTTTCTCAGGTGTCATCCTAGTTAGCCTCCATATCATCACCATTGCTGACTCATCAATCTACATCACCAGCACACCCCCGCACAAACATTATGCCTCCAAATCTACAAACTAATAAAAAAAAAGGACGAAACCTATTGATCCTAGACACCAAAAAAGGAACAAAAGCATCAGATTCATGCCTCCAAGAAAATACACAGGGAGCGTGGTCTTGTAAACAAATATGGAGGCATTGGTGGATACCTTCCCTATGAGTAAAATCAATTTAAACATAATAGTCATGTCCAACCCAAACTAGTGGCCTAGTTAGAGTTCCCTACCTAAAATCCTAATACTCTCAGTAACTGGTTGCAAAAGAAATGAGCTAAGGAATGTTGGAGGCATGTTGTTGTCAAGGTGCATACTTCCCAAAAGTAGTGACCTCCAGGAAGGCAAAGGTTTATTTTGGGTGAAGAAAAAACATGATTCAGCTTTTCACAAGGCAAGCCTGAACTTAGTTAAAATAGTTATATTTGCAAGGTGTTTACTAAGCATGTTTCTCTTAACTAAAATGACTCACAAGCGATTAAGGATTTTGACATAAGTAGTAAAACAATTACACTTGGTGAGTTTACTATTAAATTTTCACATTTCATCTTATCTTTTCCCATAGTTATGACAAGGAAACAAGATGCTACCTTTAATAGCAAAGCAACAACAAAGAATAAGGAAACATGTCTACAAAAGAAAAAAAAAGAAGGAGTTGAAGAAAAATATCCCTACCATTCTATACTAGGCAAATTTTATTCTTAGCAAAGGAGGAACAGCACTACTGCCAACAAGGGCCATGACGCTTAAGAGATATTTTGCCAAAAATATGAAACCATTGAAGATGCATAAGTTGTTGCATGAAGGTACATATTGACTAATGAATTTTGATGGTAGTTTGCTCCTCACAAAAATAAATAGTTTACCCTTTCGGCTAAGCTGCTCTTTAATCTGTAAGTCATGTAGTAGATTGAAATGTAAATAATCTCTACCTAAGCCAGGTTTGGCTAGAGATAAGTTTTAATTTAGTCTTTATTCATTAATAATTTTTTACAATAAGTATAAATAATCTTGTAGTTAGAGATTTTGAGGAAGGCTGTAAGATATTGTTACTCTTATGATAGCATGCTTTTTGAGGAGGTGTCCTTGACTATGTCTCCATATCAACCAGCAAAGGGAATTTATAGAGTTAATCCTTTTAGAGGGAACATTTTTTTATTCTTACAAACACACTTTTAGCTAGCTCATTTCATATGAAGCCAATGTATCTGATATAAGACATTTCAAGCAATGCTGAAAGAAAAAAACAACTTAGAATTTTTGTATCACTAAAAACATCATACAACCTTCGTAGTGGCAACATGGTGGAGGGGTTAATGAGAATGAAATTTGACAAACACCTAGATTTCGCTCCTATAAAGTTGTGCAACCAAGTGTTGACCAACATTATTTACACCTATTTGCAAATCAATAAAAAGGTGCCACATGTTCCATTTGTTTCAATGATTGTCTATTATTTTGCCACACCACCTAGTGAAAGCAAGGCTTATTTTACTTGCAACCTTTGAAATTTTGAGCAATGTGTGGCAACCACATGTCATCCATGTCATATCTCATTTATTGATTAAATCATTTTAAATAGTGATTTAATTGCAAGATTTTTAGGAAAATCATGGAGCAAATCCAAGGTTGTAACTAATTTCATTTTGAAAGAATAAAAGATATGCACACATGGTACTACTAGACATTGCCACATGAAGACTTCATCAACTAAGTTTAGTGAGTAATTTTTCTCCAAATTGAATTCAAGTGGTTGTTGCCACATTAGCAGTAAAGTGGTTCATTTGTTGCAAATTTTGCAACATGTCTCTAGGGATTTCTAGCATTCTATTAGGAAATGTTCAAAATAAAGTAAGCATAATCCTCTCAAGCCAACCAATCGTTGTCAATTATCTCTACGATATCTTAGCTCCATGCTTCTTCACAACTCCCAAGCTCTACACTTCCTTACAAACTCCAGATCCACAAAGGCCTATCCCTCTAAAACTAGTCTAATACTATCAATTATCATTACAATATCTTAGCTCTATGCGACCACAAACTCTAGCAATAGTTTTATCTATTTATTTTAATTTGAACATCTTCATTGATGTATCTCATTTTATGCAACTCAATTCAATAATGTCTTCTTTAGAACGATTGTCAAGTTTCATTTCATGTTGTCAATGTTGTTCACAATTAATTCTATCAACTCAGTATTTTTAGCACTTTAGTTTCCACCATGCACTCTCTTGCTCTCCTACATTCTAATTTTCTCTTTTATTTTGATTAACAAACTAACATTTTGGTTTTAGTTGTAGGAAGTGCTTGATATTCTTCCAAGCCAAATTGTTTATGGATCTTTCTTTCTCATTTTAAGTAAAGTGAGTGGTATGCCTTTGTAATCATATTTAGCACACAGCTAAAAGGAGATATTTTAGAGATAACACTAATTTTTTGCTCTATTCTAGTGGGTCTCCATCCATCGGAATCTCTTGTTAGACTCATCTTTCTCTTTAAGTGGATTTCTGATTATAAGGTGTTTATTCGAGATTGAAGTTTAGTTTAGTGATGCATAAGATATAATTGAATTTCTACCCTTGACAATTTTCTCCTTTTGTCAATCTTGTTGACTTGCAACAGAATATTAGCATATAGCATGCGTGCCTATTTTCCTTCCTCTGACAATTTTCAAATCATTGACTATGAGTGAAGGTTAAGGATTCAAATATCAAAAACACTAAAAGCCTATTTGGTGTGACTAGAGGTTTTGATAAAAATCCAATTTGAGAATATTTGATGTAAAAGTCCTTTTTATAAGAAGCTAAAGGTGTTTGGTAAAATTATTACACAAACACTACTAGAATTTGAAACTTTTAGATAAATTTTCTTATAAAAAAAACCTTTTAGTACAATGTGATATTAAAATAACTTAAAAGAGCATTATTATTAAAAAGAAGCACCATCTATATATTTTATTTTCATATTTATAAAACTTTTCAATTCCTTGCAAGTTTAATTATTTTAACATTAATGATTGCAATTGAATTAATTCTTCATATGTAGAACTTTTCAAAAATATTGAAGTTCTATAAATATGAAGAGTAAAAAAATATAGATGGTGATTGTTTTTTGAACAAATACCTTTTAGTCATCTCAACATCACATTGTATTAAAAGATTTTTTATAAAAAAAATTATCAAATAATTTTAAAATTTAAAAATAATTGTGTAAATAATTTTACACAACACCTTTATAGCTTCCCGTTAAAAAAAAACACTTTTACAACAAATCTTTCCAAACCACACTTCTTTCAAAAGCTGCAGCGACAATAAATAGAATTTTATAGCATGTTTGGATTATCTTATAAGAGTTTTTACTTTTTTTGCACTGTTTATGAATGATAAATTTAAATTTTTAATTGAAAAAAAATTTTAAAATTACTTTTAGAGATAAGAAAAAATGAATAAAAAATAAGTAAAAAATAAGTTTATAAAAAGTAAAAATTTAAAACTTTTAAGTTTTTATTGTTTAAAATTTTTTTAAGGTTAAAAAAATTTTTAAATATAAGTTAAAAAAAAATAATTTTTGAAATATAAATAATGTCAACAGCTAAAACTCTTAAAAGTTAACTCAAACATGTCCTTAAAGTTTAGTTTAGAAGCTACACCAAACACTGACTTCTAAACCATCCAAAAATAGAACAAAAACAAAACAAACTCCCTCCAAGGTAAGTTTAGTTGTCCTATTTTAAATTTCATATTTATCCTTTATTCTTTCAATTATTTTTTTCTTTATTCTACCCTCGTAGCATTTGCATTCTTTTTACTTTAGTAATTTCTCGACTTCGTAAGTATTAATGTCCTCGACAAATTTGTGAACACAATCTGCAGAAATTTAAATGTCATTTAAAAAGCAAAACAAACAGGAGAAATATATATTCTTTCTTTCTACATAAATCAAACTTCCTACTTTGCCAAAATCTAAATAATAAGAAAAAACCACACAAAGGAAAATTGGTCACCGCCAAAATTTCAAATCTCTCAATGACCAGCTTAGTTGTTCTTTGCAGCTTCAGCCTGCCTTGCACCAACAGCAAAGAACTCGGTAATCACTTCTAGAGGCATGCCTTTTGTTTCCGGAACTTTCAAGAAGACAAACACCCACGACATGATGCACACAACAGCATACATGCCAAAAACACCAGCGAGACCAACAGATTTGAGCAACACTGGGAGGGAATAAGTGACAATGATGTCGCCAATCCAGAACGTGAGGGCGCATATGGCAATGCAGAGGCCACGAACCCTGGTAGGGAAGATCTCTGCACAAAGTATGTTGGGGATTGGCCCGAACCCCATGACAAAGAAACAGAAATAGAGCACAACACTGACAGTTGAGATTGCAGCATGCACGATATTACCCATGTCCACAACACTTCCTAACACTAAAATGAGGAGAGATAATATCAAGATTGGGACTGTGCTCAGTAGCAGACTCCTGAAATGGGAAATAGAGGAAAAATTAGATAACAACGTAGAAAGGAATGGTCATCAATCCATATCAAGAAATCCAATCCCCTCTCAACTTTTAAGTCAAAATATCTATAATCTGCATGGAAACAGATTTTTAGTGCATTCAAGCAGGAGTGGCTATCACGTAAAAGAACTCGAAAAAAAATAAAAAAAATTTTACCGTCTACCCGCAACGTCCATAAGTCGCATTGCAACAGCAATGCTCGGGAGCATCAACAAAGTTGTAAGGCCACTGATAAGCAGAGATGCAGAAGATGAGCTAAGGCCCAAGTTTGAAAGAAGAACACTAACTCCTGCCTGCTCGAGAATTTGAGGAGTATAGTAGAGAACCCCATTAATGCCAGAGAACTGCATTGACAAGGGAGGTCAAAAAGGGATACTTGCAAGCAAGTAATATTAAGGTGAAGCAGAATCCTTTTTTTTTTTTTCTTTTATTAGACTGGTTCACTATTGCTAGAACTAAAAGATGCAGTTCCTAACACAGCACCAAAAATGGATCATTTCACCATTCTGCTTGCAAAGGTTAATTTGATTTAGTAGAGAGCTGGAAGGTTATGCTTGTTTGACTGTGTTACCTGCTGAAGTATTTGAATTCCCACACCTACAACCAAAGCATGCTTGACTCCAGGTTCAAAGAGATCACTCCAACCTGGACTTGTTGCAGCCTCAGCCGGATGAAGCATGGCAGGTCCTACTGGATTCTGTTTCATAAGATCCTTGGAATAAAGAGCTGGCTGACTTACCAGAGCAGAAGCCTGGACAAACTCACTCTCTGGGGCAGCAGCATCACTGGCAAGTAGAGAAGCTATTGACCCACGCCTAGATGCAGGGACACCCTCTTCTTTCAAATAAATTCTTTTAAATCCCCCTTCCTTCTTTCCATCCTGGCCTTCTCTCTCAGAATATTTCCATGCTAGCTGCCATCCACCACCAATTCCCACGCTTCCTGATTCTCCTGCATTCCCTTGCAGCAAACTACTATTTCTCAGGCTTGCAAGGCTTCCATGGGCAGGTGGGACAATGTCCTTGTCCATGCTGGTTGTCTGACGTGAGATAAGTGGACTCTGCAAATTGTCATCAGACTCATCAGCAGCATCCTCAGATGCATATCCCTCTCCTTCTCTTGGAGCATTCTCCTCATCCCACTCTTCATTTCTAGGTTGATTACCTCCAGCCACACTGAACATGCTGCCTAAGTGCGGAAAAAGCATACTTCGCATACTTCCAGTTTGAGGAACATTCTCATGGACACTGCCAAAGAGGGTGACAAGAGGATCCATGAGAGGCACATTCTGGTTGGCCATACTCCCCTGCCGAGACACAATACCAAGAGTACTCTGACCAGTAACAGGTCTGGCCACCCAGGAGAGGCCTGCTTCAGGTCCATATAACTTTATCCGATCTTTATCTGCAGCTATATCATGGTCATTGGTATCATCAGTGACTGGTCCAATTATATACTCCTCTATGGATGTTTCACGCCCAACCCCAAGTCCCTCCACCAGTAAAGCCATCTCACCTGTTAATCTAAGAAAGGTCAGTACCTCCACAGGACTGATCATTGTTCACTAACATTGCTACTTCAGCATTCCTTGGTCTAAAAATCAAGAAATAATATAAAAAGTTTTGACAAGGACCATATAAAGAAATAACAGAAAAGGATCAAGAATATCACATAAAAGAAAGATGAGTTACCATGGACATTAACAAATTTCAATGCCAACCTAATACAATTATTGGTTAAGTTGCTCTAAAATTTGTCCAACAGATGGCTTCCTATTTACCTCTTGTTCAGCAAAGGAAAGAAATATTATGAGGAAATGAACATATCTTCTAAGATCTAATGTGCAAGACAAACAACAGAAACAAAGAAATGAAGTTCTTTCACAATAAATAAGAAATGACATTTTATGCAAGAAAACCACACAAGAAAAGATTCCCAAATGCAATGATAAGATAGATAACCAATCACCACTTGCATTTAATCATTAATGTCCTATATAAGCACTAAACAAGTATTTATTACCCCCAAAAAGAATTAAAGTTTTCCAGGAGTGATTGAGAAAAACTAACCAGCAACATCTTCCCTGCCACGCAGCCTCTGTAGAACCTTTTTAGCCTCAACCATCCTCCCTTTACTTACAAGCCACCGTGGTGACTCAGGCAAGAAAGAGATAGTTAATATAAAATATATGAGGGAGGGAATAGAAAGAACTCCGAGCATTAATCTCCAACTTGGTGACTTCATCAATGACATTCCAAAAACCATGCAATATGACAAAAACATTCCAATGGAACCTGTGAACTGGGGAAGGGTATTCAACAATCCCCTTATCTCAGGTGGCGCAGTTTCAGATATATAAACTGGGACCAGGGTAACAGCCAAACCAACTCCAAAGCCATCCAAAAGCCTAGCCAAAAGTAGGATATAAACATTTGGAGACCACAACATTACAAGACCACTAACAAAATAAAGGACGGATGAGATAATTAACATAGGGCGGCGTCCAAGCCAGTCAGCTATGCCTCCGGAGCATGTTGTAATGCAGGTGGCTCCAATAAGAGACATGGCTACAATCAGGCCTTCTATAGTGGGTTCACTCTCCAATTTGAACTCTTTTTTTATGTACATAACAGCACCTGCAGAAAGAAAAAGAAAAGAAGGGGGCAAAGGGTCTCTCATTGATTGGAATGGATAATTAAGTAACATATGCTTCACAGTAAATGCAAAACATATTGATCATAAGGAAAGCAAAGTTAACGAGCCATCTCATCAAGCAAATTCCATCTTAGTTCAAAGTTTATTGATGATCTTTGAGGATAGCAAACATTATATAATCAAATATTGAACTTTCATGCAAGCAAAAATAAAGACTGAACTTTCAGTTTTCAGTTATAAATATTGAAATTCATACTTATATGATTCATGAAGTAATCAAGAATCCAAAAGAGTTGTCATCATTAAAAAATGAAAAAAAGAAAACACACACAAAAAAAAAAAAAAAGGAGAATAGAAAAGAGTAAATTACCAGCGATGGTGGCATTATCCCATCCTTGCAAGAGGTTACCAATAGCTGCAGCAACAGCCACAAACACAGCTCCTCTCATTTTTTCCAGAATTCAAATCCTCTCAACAGTGATTACTAAACTCAACACTGCAAGAGAAACCCCAGATCAAGGAAGTAATATCAAACCAGTTCTTGTTAACCCACCTCAAAAATCAAGCAAAAACAGGATCCTCCTTGCTTATGTGACCTCTACTGGAGCAAAACAGATCACAGCTTCAACACAATCAACACAAGACAAACCACAACGGACACAAGCAAAAAAGCAAAACAAGAGGAACCCAGATGTCTAAATCGAACATGAAAACTAAAGAAGTGGTTAATTTTACCTTCCAGGGAACCAGAAGCAGAAGCAGAAGGGCGTGGTTAGTGGTTCAGCTATCATCAGATGCAGAAAAAGCCATAACAGATTCTCCTGCAAATTGCCATCGCTAGGTGTTAAAAAAGTGGGTCTCTGCGGTGATGATGGGAAATATCTTTTATAAATAATAAATATAATAAAAATCGGGGCAAGGAAATGCAAATAGAAAAAGAGTGAATTTCGTGGTGTTCCAAAATTTAAAAAAATAAAATAAAAATAAAAAGGGTGGCGACCTCATTCGTCCAAGACAAAAGCCCAAGAGACACAGAACTTTGCTTTTCACAACCGTGTCACTGCCAGCTGCCCTCCCTTGTGCCTCTCCGAGACCTGCACGTATCAATCTGTCACGGATTCACTCGCTTTCCTTGTTCACATCAAAAACCATGTAAAATCATAATTAACATCCCAGAATCATTAAAGTTTTCATCTTTTTTCATAGCGAAAATGGGAAATCCTGGATACCTAACTTTTGAAGAGAATTTAACCACATAAATCAGAATCTCATCAAGTTCTCATCTTTTTGCAAAGGGAAAAATGGGTAAAGTAAAGAATACATGATTTTGAAAAGAATTTTAACTATAATAATAATGGAGAAGTAACAAAAACAGTAATCGGAACAGTCCAAAAAAACCTACCAAATTACGTTGTAGATCTGAGATCTCTGAGCTTTCACTAATAAAACTATTAAGCGGAAGGTAGATCCAATATTTAGTAAATAATATAGTTAACTAATTTTCAATTAATATAGCTTCATGCTGGTGTGTGTTGGTGGAGAAAAGGACAGGAAATGGATAATACGGCAAGTGGGACGTTTTGTTTTGATGATGCTGTTTGAGGTTGGAACTTGGTGGAGCCAGTGAGGGTACTGTAATTTTTCTTTTTTCCGCAGAAATGAAGGGTGATGTTTTAGGAGGGAAAACGATGAGAATTTTACCAGTTCAACAACAGAAGCTCCAAACGCTGCGGATTAGGAACAGAAATCTCAGTTATAAACCCCCGCTTCGGAATACGGTTAGTTTTTAACTTAATGGTAGTAAATAAGATCTTTTATAATGATAAATAAAATCCAAGTTGTTTTAAAAAAACTAGTTATTTATTATCTTACCGTACATCTCCGTTAGTCTCTCTTAACCCGTGAACAATACTGCGCGTTCTTCTTTCCGTGAGCTCCATTAAAGAGTTTAAAATGCGCATTTCTAGACCCCATTATCCTTTTCTAATGGTACGGAGTTACTTCCTCTGTTCCATTATGTTTAACGTTTTGGCTTATTGCATTCGGATCATTGTTGTTAATTTCATTCCGAATCGATTGGTGTAGTAGATACGTATCAATTTTTTTTTTAATCAAAATAATATAATATTTAATTTCGTTTCTGATCAAATTTTATTTATTTTGATCAAATTTTAATATAAAATAAATATTTCAACGTACCAACAGATATATCAAAAAGTAAGTTCGTTTCCGATCAAATTTTATTTATTTTGATCAAATTTTAATATAAAATAAATATTTCAACGTACCAACAGATATATCAAAAAGTAAGTCCACACAAATAAATTTAAATTAAAAAAAGTAAGTTTCATTTTTTGATCTCAACTTTAATATTTTATATAATTTTTATCTTTTAATTTTTTTACATATTTTTTTAATTCATTAATTATAAAAATTACATTTTTTTAATCAATTCAAAGTTAAGGTTTTGTAAAATATTAAATTTATAATAGTTATACTTTCTAATATTATCTTAATATTAAAAAAATTATGAATGTTTTATCAATTTTGTTATTTTAAATTTGTTTTCAATTTATAGAAATATGATAATTTTAAAAATTAGTTTCTCTTATTATTATTTTAAAATTTGATATTTAACTTATAAAAATATATATTTATAGTGATAAATCTAAAATAATACACGAAAAAATTTTAATATCCCTTATGTACCATTTTAGTAACAAAATTTATACGTATATTGGTATGATATTGATAACTTTGATTGGGATTAAAGTAATGATAATTACTCTTAATTTTAAAGTTAATTATAATCAAAATACCATTTATACCCTTTGTCTCTCTCATCGTTTAGAAGCTCAATAGTCCTAAATCTTCTCTTTGTCTGACTTTTGCACTTCCAATTGAACGGGCTGAGTTCATATTCTTTCGAATTTCATCTGCTTTTTTATTTTTCATTCTAATTCCACCGATTTTTCATTCTAATTTTTCCAAAACAAAAATATGCCAATACTCTATCATGGAGAAAAATAAACACATACATAAATTTCAAGAGAAAATACCAAATTGAAGTAGTCCGCAAGGTCTAGTACTGACTTAATTGAGTGAAGAATCTTCATCCTTCTACAATAGGAAAAAATGGAGATATTTTTTGCGTTGTTCTGATGATCATGGAAGATGAAAAACACGATTACAATCCATAACACATCAAATCCTAGATTATTCTCCAAAACCCAAATACTTAAATTACACAAAAAATTTGGAAAACAGGATAGAGATATGGCCATGGAGCGGTTGATAAGCCGATGAAGAAGCCGGAAAAGAAGGCTAATTGAGACGGGCGCCAAACATTAGAGGAGAAG